CTAGCCGGAGTTAAACCATGGCAATGGCTTATTACCAAGAGAATTAAACCTTTTTTGTTCAGTGATGGAGAAGTACATCACTTCCATAACTGGAATGGAGTTTTCATGCAGCTGTTCACATGGAAAGATTCATTAAAAGGACTAACGTGATATTAAAATCAAAACACCCATTTTTAGCAGTTGGCAGCCCACTATAACACATACTCATATTCCAGGGATACGTTTTGGGAACACTAGTTTGATTCTTTTCTGCATGAGAAGTCCCAGCTGAGTTTCATCACTCTTTCTTCAGGGTGATGCCAGGAGTCCCTCATTCCTCTCCCACTACCCCAGCGCCCTGCAGCTCATTTCCTCACACCCCCAGCAGTTCACTGTACCATCACCCAGTATTCCTGAATCTGATCAGAGGAAAAGCAATGCAAAACCAATATCCCTTTCTCCTGAAGAAAAAACTTCCCTCATGCCTTCAGGAGTTGTGTCTTACAACCGCAGGTGTATTTGCAGCAACATTGGCTCCAGCACAAGTTACCCCAGGCTTGCTCAGTCTATCGAAAATGCTCCTCTTGACACTGAGGCTACATCCAGACTTTCAGAACACGGCTCCTCACGGAATCTACCCCCATCGCAGAAGAAACGTAATTTGGAGACACCGTGGTTTCTTTGTACCAAGCCTTGCTGCCTTCACTTTCAAAAGAATCGCTTGGTGACACCAATAAATGGGTTAAGAAGACCTGAAAATCCCTACTTTATTTAAATAGCAGATGATTTATTTTATTTGCATTAAAAAAACCAAAGCAGTATGTATAATCCAGGTAACTGAGGTCGTACATCTAAAAATGTATTAGCCGCCACAGCTCTCCGTCTGAAAAGTTCTCCGTCGGAAAGCTACATACCATTTTTGTCAAATCCCTGAACTTGATTTTCCTTTTCATGTTTCCAGGCAGAAACGTTGCAAGCTGTATTTTGACCAAACGCTGTGCTAGGTGGTTTGGCTTTCTGGAAAAGGGATTGCTTCTCCGGAGATCTTGCTTTCGGCAAGGGATTGTCCTTACTGTTTAAAACGGAACACTCCTAGGTTAATAAGGAAAAGTGAATTTCAAACCATGGGCACAAAAATGCCCCAGAAGAAATAAGATCCAAACTTAGAGCATGAACATTTCAAGTTACAATGAGTCCCTTAGCCTCTCATCAACCCCTTCTCAAAGCAGAACACGCCAGAGAAAGTGTTTACTCTGCGCAAATCCCTGGGGCGTGCTGTCAGCAAGGGCCTCCTGTCGTCTCACACATGCCCTGAGCGAGCCAGACTGCATTCTTCCAGCCAGCAACGTCCATCCCTTCTTTCTGTTCTCCTTTCTGAGAGCTGGATGGAGTACTTAACACCTCCACACTTAAATCCTAATCCAAAGCGCAAAGCTGGGCTTAGTCAGCACCTAGCAACTGAAGGACTAGCAGCAGGAGAAGACAGCTGCATGACATCGGTGGGTACGCGTTTGATATTAGACAGTTCGTCCCGGTGAATACATTTGCATGTATAATCCACACCCTACGGGGTGACTGGGACAAGACCTCAGAGCAGATGGGTCTATATCCTTCTGATACCCACAACATCAGAAGGACATAGACCGGTTGGAGTGAGTCCCAGAGGAGGCCACGAAGATGCTCAGAGGGCTGGAGCACCTCTGCTATGGGGACAGGCTGAGAGAGTTGGGCTTGTTCAGCCTGGAGAAGAGAAGGCTCCGGGGAGACCTTATTGCAGCCTTCCAGTGCCTGAAGGGGCTACAAGGAAGCTGGGGGGGACTTTTTACAAGGGCCTGTAGTGACAGGACAAGGGGTAACGGGTTTAAATTGAACGTGGGGAGGTTTAGATTGGGTATCAGGAAGAAATTCTTCAGGGAGAGGGTGATGAGGCACTGGAACAGGTTGCCCAGAGTAGTGGTGGATGCCCCCTCCCTGGCTGTCTTCAAGGCCAGGCTGGATGAGGCTTTGAGCAACCTGGTCTCGTGGAAGGTGTCCCTGCCCATGGCAGGGGGCTTGGAACTGGATGATCTTTGAGGTCCCTTCCAGCCCAAACCAGTCTGTGATTCTGTGGGTATTTTTAGAAGTTGCAGATAAATTACCCATCTATTCTTCCTGTAAGAGCACAGTTATCAACCTTAAATGCACAGAGTTCAAAGCGTGATGTCAGTGGTCTCTAAGACACCCCCAATCCCTCTTTACCTGGGCAGAGAAGGGTCTGTTGGCATGTCAGATACACAAGTGAAATCAGGGGTGAATGGGCATAAGGCTTTTTATCACCTGGGCTGTACTGTCTCCCCTTCCGGCAGTAAATGACACTAAATAGCAGACCATAAATTCAAGACCACAATCACCAAGCAAGGGGAAATGGATGATCTTTGCTCTCTCCTCCAAAGAAACTAGCCTTGCTTCCCATTCTCTGGAAGAAGTAGAACTCCTTCCCATCAGTCGCAAGATTAGGAGTTTGGGAGTCTTGCTAGAGAGGCACCGTCTTTTGTTGGTTTGTTCTTTTGGTTTTACGATGGGGCATCTGAGGGCTTGTACTGAAAGGGCTGTACCCAAGCAGAAAGGTCCCAACGAGTCAGCACACCAGGTGCCAGAAAACTTGAGCCAGCTTATGAAAACAAGTGGCAGACAATTTTTTCCCCCCAAAATGTGCTTCTCCACAGGCACATGTTTAAAAAACTTGGGAATAAAAAAAAGCAGCAAGAACAACAGGAACAAAAATAAGGACCGCAGTACATCGGAAGCCACCAGCAGCCTCCCAACTACCCTTTATGCACACACCCCCATCTCCTCTGCAACGACCTTTGCCGCCGTCGCAGACACGTGGCTGTGAGTGCCAGCGCACAACGCCTGCCCCACGTTCAGTCCCCCTTTTTCGACAGAATACTTGAAACGACGCTATTTATCAAACACTGACGTGCTCTCTACCACCACCTGACAGTCTCTCCCCTCCCTCAGGCTCCCCCGGACGGAACTGAAAGGGGAGCGGCTGCGTCAGGCGGGGAGCCCGTCACTGTCGTATCGCAACTTGACTCCTACCTTTGTTCTAAGGAGCTGAGCTTTATGCTGAACGGCGTTAGTATTCACATCATTTTCTCGGCAACTGCTTTCAGCCGCCGCGGTATCCATAATGCTGCTGCCGACCGTCTGCGTGTTATAGCCACTGTCCACCTGAAACCAAGAAGCGGGGCTTTAAAATTGTACTGCAAGGGACTGCCAACAAACCCCTCAGATTCTCATCTGACTTGCCTTTAATTAACAGAACTTAGGCCAATGAACCAACTAGGGTCATTGGTTGGTTCATTCTGGGGGTTGGAACTAGATGATCTTTAAGATCCGTTCCAACCCAAACCATTCTATGATTCTGTGAACCAACTACCATCGGTTAAGAATAGAAGCAAATTCTGAACTGGCCTGTCAGAGCGAGTTTGGGTTACATAAAACATAATACTGTGCATAGGAACACAAAAATAATCATAAATTGCTAGGCTGACTCCACTGAGAGAGGAAAAAGGGGGCTGGGGGGAAGGAATAAGTCACAATACAACCTGCATGCCACATCCAATAAGAGAAAACAATTACTTCCAGAATGGTATACATACTAAAAGTCAGTATGTCAAGCCCAGTTTTACAGAGAGGCAAAAAGAAGTTGTATTTTTACCTGAATACTGCTGTTGTCACAAGGAATTGCACTGCTTTCTGCAAGGGGTGACATGCACATGCGGGAGTTCTCAATACTGAAAGTGATCCCTGTCATAAAGCTGGTCATCGGTGCATTGCTATTGCCAGCTGCTTCTTTTATCCAAGTGTTTTCCTCTGACACTTCGGCTGCGTCAGCCATATCTACAGTATTATTTTCCTTTAAGCCTTCTATATCCTGAAACGATGGCAACCTTGGACGACAAGCTTCGGAGCGATCTGGCGTAATAGACACAGTTGCTACGACGAGATGCGCACCACGTGCAAAAGTATCACCATCTTGCTGACCTAAGTGTATTTCATTACCCATTTCTGGAAAGCGTGCTTCGGACGGGGAAGCGTTTTCCTTGTCTTCCTCATCCTCGCCATGGTTCTCCACCGCGATCGGGATTCTAATGACAGAAGTCTGATACTGGGCAGTTCCTCTACATGCTCCAAACCTCATAGGAGAACAATTTTTAATTGGAGAACACCCATCTATGTAAGGACTTCTTGTACTTGAGGGTGTCATTCTATTGGAGGAAGGAGGAATATCTGGAGAACAAAATGCAAATTTTCTTTGGTCTGTAAAAAAAACCAACAAAGTCACTCTATTAGCTATCAGGTGGTGTTAAAGTCGTCGTCCTCAAAGCCCTACAGTCCTTTGTATAATTACAGCCAACTACATAGTATTTCACTGGCCACTGTCTTCCAGCTCCAAGTCCTTAAAAAACCCAAAAACCCCCATACCCCCAAACCCCAAAAGAAAACAAAACACAACCACCACCACCCCCAAGGCATTTAAAGTACTGTGGTAAAGGCAAGTCTTAATCCATTTTTACCACCAAATTTGTTTCCTATGGCATATGTTGCATTTTCAAACGTCAAGACCACAGTGTGTTCACAGGAAAATGGATTTTTTTTCCTTAACACAATGTAAATACACATATTCCAGAGGCATTTAAAAATAAAAACATGGTGTAGCAATGAAGTTTTCAGGAAAATGAGACAAGTGGCAAAACACCCATGCAATCTCCACATCTAACGGTGTTGAAATTCCAAAAGGCTCATCAGAGCAAAATCCCCTATGAACATGCCATTAAGTCTTTCCATGCAATGGATGGAACATGAAGTGCTGACATTTCTACAGCAACAGGGACACCGAAGGTTTGTGATTTCTTCACAGCTAGACATAGGGAAGTCAGACTAGATATAAGGAATACATTTTTATGATGAGTTATATTCTTTCTACATCTCTATTGTAGCAACAAATTCCTATTTCTTGTTATAACTCTTCCTGTTCAAAAAGAGACATGTAGGCACAGGCAGACACTAAGAACAATAGGTCTAATTCACAGTACTTTTTTTACAGTGAAGGTGGTGAGGCACTGGAAGAGGTTGCCCAGAGAAGCTGTGGATGCCCCATCCCTGGAAGTGTTCAAGGCCAGGCTGGATGAGGCTTTGAGCAACCTGGTCTAGTTGAAGTCATCCCTGCCCATGGCAGGGGGTTGGACTGGATGACATTTAATAGTCCCTTCCAGCCCAAACCAGTTATGGTTCTATGATTCTTCACTAGTTAGTTACATTTCAAATAATTTTGACAATCACGATTTGAAAAACTCAAGCTTTGTTCGATTAAAATGCTTCAAGTTGGGCCAAATCAGAATTGTGACTTGACAGTGCAGGCATATGGCTTTAAACCTTCTCCTCACACTAGATTAACCCTTTTTTTAATTATTATTCCTATTAGGTCTCAATTCCTTCTTCAAAAACAGTTTCCCTATTTGATTTTTGCAAGCAGATACACATCACTGTTTCATATCATTAAGATATTTCACTGCTAAACAGGAAATGTGTCATCCAGGAGACTGCTGGTCTGCCAAGCACAGAAACTTGTCTCCAAACAGTAACTAGTTCCAGTAAGAATGCAGCAGTTTTTATAAAGACATATAAATCAAGAAAAAACAACAGATATGTAATTAAACCATACCTGACAGTGGTGTCTTTCTTATGTGAAAAGCAATTGGTGAAAAAGTAGGAGAACCATTGTGTGCAGGAGACCCCTCTGGAAACGTGGGGCTGGTTATACTTCCCAGACTATAAGCTCTTGTTCCTCCCCGAATAGGACTTGATGAAAACTGACCCTTTGGGGGAAAAGAAAACACCACACCAAAAATGCATATTTTCATAATGTAAAACTTTGACTAGTGTTTATAAGAAGTTTTCTAATTAAAACACTTAATAGGGCAGCACTGAGGAAAATAAACCCTGTACAATGACAATCTCCATCATTAGTTCAACTTAAATATTCCAGCTGCAGCTCTTCGCTTGGACTTTATGCCTCCGCATAGGAAAAGAGCAACGGACTTGTCACCTATTTCCAAGACTATAATATCCTTTATATTTAGGAACGATAAGAAGCATAAACGGAACTAATGACATCTGTGTATAGAGTCAAGTGTTTAATCTCAATTTTTTAGTTATATCATTGCAGATGAAACCCAGTCACTATTCATATTTTAAAAGAATCCGTATTATCTGACTTACTTAACTCAGCAGCAGACAAAATACTTAAGAGAACAGTGGTTGTGATCTTGCCTAAGTGTATGGTGCAAGAAGAAAAGTCACTTCTAGAGGTATAACCACGTTCCAGGAATTCTTTACCAGGTTACCATAGTGAGGACTATTTGGGGGTTTTGAGCCACACTTGCTGGGGTAGCTTTTCTTCCCAGTGCACTTCAGCCACCAAACAGATGAAACCATACCAGCTAAACCAGTCTAGCCCTGTGTGCTGGG